TCGAATGGAGCACAATATTTCACAAATCGTTGCCAATCAAACAATGGCAAGGCATCAGATGCAGATGCGTTGACGGTTTTTGAGATGAGGGACAGGACTGAACATGGGACTGGATGCCCATGCCATTGGCAGGAAGTTGGTTTCAGGGGGATCCGGCTAAGGATCAGTATGGATACTGGGACAAAAGTGATGAGGGGCAAGTGTCTGACTCTGATTAGAGGCAACTTGTTCGAAGTTAATTTTGCAAATTGCCCTCGAGGTTCGGGCGCTGCAAAAGGTGAACACTTGGTTGGCAAGTCGGGCGCAAAATCCCGCCCCAAAAATTCCAATTAAACAAATGCCAAACTTTCAACCTCACTTTCCCTATATATAAATATATATATATATATACATATATATATATGTAGATATCTGTCTGTTTTGGTGGCCACATCAGATTTTTGGGACCTGCCAAAAAGGCACTGGCAGTTAAGGCAACCAAGCGCAAAGCCAAAAAACTTTCACAAACATATATCGTAGCTCTACGCACACGAGTGCGTATATGTTTGTTGGCAAACAAAAATTTTCTGAATTGTGTGTGTATCATATGTGTGTGCTAAAAATATTTGCGTAAAAATGTATTAAATAACCGAGAATTGAAGAATATTGAGGAAAATGGCATTACAATTGCATTGGAAATTTCGAATTCGTAATGGTTTCTTTTTGGGGGGCATCAAACTCAATTAATTTTCCCCCTTTTTTGGCGTAATTGGCCACTGAAACCGAAAATCGGCAAAGAAAAACAAAAACCAAAAACTTTTGTATAAGAGAAAGTAACTGAGACCGAAAATCATAAACAGGGCTAGCCACAATATCGGTGGGGCGAAGATTATTGAAATTTCCTGTGCGGTTGGATTATATATCATAAACCCAACTCCACCCACAATAACAACAACAACAAACTTCCTGCATTATTATTGCGAAATCACTTCTGGCACAGTTTCGTGTGAGGCGAAAACCACTAATCAAATACTTCAGAAACATGAGACAATTGAATTAAAGGGGCTTGTGAAATGGTTTTTGGGGGCGGAATTCTGGATACCCTTTAAGTGCTTATGAAATCTTAAAGAGAAATAATCTTGAGATTAAATTTGGTGTATATGTATATCGTTTAATAAAACTACATCTTAGTTATGAACTTTTCAAGTGGCGGGGGGTTTGGGAAATTTCCCACAAAAGGGCAGCCACAGAAAGGAAAGTGGAAAGTGGAATAGGGAAAATCACAAGGCCAAAGGCAGGCCGAATCAGAGCCAGACAAACTCACTTGATGGCCGTCATCAGCAGGGCCCAGAAGGGCCGAATTGTCACGTCTTTGTCCCCCTGCCTACTCTCTCTCTCTTTCTCTCTATCTGTCTATCTCTCTCTCTGGTCTCTGTCTCTCTCTGTGTGTGTTTAATGACAGGACGACAGTTGGCAGCTGCAATCTGCAGCAATGATATCTATTAATTATGGCACAAACTCTCGCAAATTGAGTTTTATTTCCATCGAAGTGGATATTCATTTGCATATCACTCATACGCCAAGTGAGCAGTGGCAAGCAACAAATTGGCCAAGCTGCAAGTGGCAAATCGTTGACAATACAATCCAAATGGAATAAGCCATGGTCCCATTCTAGCCATATCTATTACTTCTCATCCTACCGCTCCACTTGTGAATCCTCTCTGCGGCTTAGCCTTGGGGCTTTGTGTCCACTTGGTTCTTGGTTACCCACTGTGATATCCGTAGACAAAGAGAGAGAGAGAGTGAGAGAGAGTAAGAGAGAGAGAGAAAGAGAGATGATTAAATTATCATTGACTTTTGTTGCATCCAAAGTCCCAACTTCAGTTGCTGGCAATCCAATCGAAGACAAATGGAAAAGTATGGGAACCAGAAATAGCTGAGCTTTCCTTCTCCTCCCCTTGGGAAAAATCTGCTGATGACTTGCTGGGATTGTATGCATATTCCAGTGATGCGATTGTCATGGCCACAAATCTCTTCGTTCCTTACAAAAATAGCAATGCATTGCATCACCTTCCATTGGGATACATGGTTACAACGCATCAACAAATGCAACAATTGTCCTGCAAAAGATTAAATCTGTTTTTGAGATGGAGAAATACTGCTCTGAATTGATTTTAAAGATGAGCAATTAAAGCTACATAGTAGCTTTTTGTTCTAACTTATGTTTGTTACATAAATTGATACCAAGACATGTTATATTCGATTTGAGTTGATAATTAGTTTGATTTTGTTGACTGATTTTGTAGGAACAAAGTTTAAGACTTATCAATGGGTATTGGGTATGTTTTATATAAATATAATGAAAATCCAATGTGCATGTCAGTTGAGATAACTTGCAACTGGCTTTATTTTTTAGTTTTTCATTGTGATATTATGTTTATTATGTAGCCAGAGCTGCCATCATCATGCATGTAGCATACCATGCACCCTCCTCTATTTATAGTGCTCTCCTTCTCTCTCTCTCTCATACACACACGCATATACATATATATCTATATATATGTAGAGTTGTCTCACTCTAGAGCTGTCTCTCACTACTTACTCTTCTCTTGATTTAAATCGGCAATGTGAAATGCTCACGCTCTCACGTTCTTTCTCTCTGTCTATATATCTTCCTCTTTCTCTCTCTCTCTCTATCTCTATCTATCTATCTCTTTCTCTCCCTCTCTCTCTCTCTCTCTATCTACATGTCTCGCATTCTCTTTCTCTCTTCTGGCTGTCTTCTCTTTCTGTTTGTGCCTCATCCACAGGAAGTGCCAGCATTGAGTGATGGTGGCATCTATCACATTGATTCCTTTATACTGGAAGCTCCCAAGAGTGCAATTTTCGTGGGATTACAGAATGACTTTATGTGTGATTTCTCCTATTCCTCGGATGGCTTGACACCCAACATGGTCCAAATGGATAAGGCGGGAAGTTCGAACTCAGACTTTGATTCGCAAATGGATGCTCAAGCTGTGAAGCTATCGGAGCAGCTTCAAACCTGTGACTGTGATTTCGAATTGGATCTGAACGAAAGTGATCAATTGCAGCTGGAGGCAGAGGAGGAGCAAGATGATGAGGAGAACGAAGAGGAAGAAGAGGATCAGGCAGAGGAAGAACTCCAAGCTGAGGATCAGGAATACGACGATGGCATCGGTTTCAGTTGCGACAGCGATAGCCTCGATGATGAATTCGTCCTGGTCACTGGACAATGTGTAGCCAGTAATTCCAGCTCCAGTTCGATGCAGTGCAGCAGTGGTGCTAGTGAAGGAACCCCAACCCATAGCTCATCCACCTCCATGGAACTGGACATTGTACTCACACCACCACCGCCACCAGCTCTGGGCAAGCCCAAGTCCAGCGTTAATCCCCTCAAGTTCCTTCACAAAATCATCTAAAAAAATTGAATTCGCTCACGTTCTGCGGTGGCTTCAACCTGAATTCGCATTTCCATTTTGCACATTTGCATTTTGAATCCGCAGCAGCTGCATCCGCATCGACATCATTAAAAATCAGGCTGAACAAATTCGATAAAAAAAAACAAAGAGAGAACAATTTAAAATTCGATATTGAACCACATTTCCCTTTGATTCGTTCAATTCCTACTCCAACTCCGACTCCTGTTCGTGCTGAGGTCACCGCAAAGCCAAAATCTGAACAAAATCAAACCATTTCCTGGTTCCAGTACACAGTTTCCCCTCATTAAGTTAAGCTGCTAATTGTGACCAGCAGGAAGGAGAGTGTATCTTAGATACTAGATAGGAATACCCATTAAGACCAAAGGGTCAAATATATAGTTAACAATATTATCGAAAAAATAGATAATAGAAGAATGCTTGATAGTCACATAGCTTAAGTAGTTTCCATGGGACAATCGCATAATCGAAGGCGAGTCCTTCAAATATAAAATAGTTAACTGTTTGTTAAAAACGAATTGCTGCCAAAACTAATACACCGCACAAAAGCTATATACATTCGATATACCTAGAGAAAGAGGAAAATAAATATATATATATATAGATATAAACGAAATGAAATGAAATGTGTACCTTTGGAATCGTTTGACCTGCTGGAGTTTGAAACCAATTACATTTCGGTTCTGGTCAGAAGGAGCGGCGAAGCCGACGCGATTGCATTTCCTTAGCGATTTGCATTGAGATTTTCCCTCATTTTCCCATTATATTTCCTTTTGGCTTTGTCAAATAGTGCACTGAGTGCTTGAAGGAATGACTGAATGAATGGGTGAGCAGTGAGATATCCTACAATAAAAATCATTGCTGAAGTAATTGGCAAAAAAAAAAGAATGGGGTTTTAAAAAAAGGTGCACGAAATGTTTGCCTTGTATATACCATTATGAATGCAATTCGAGGTGGTTTTCGCAAGTGGATGTGGATGGGGGTTGTGGGTTGCCATGGATCAGCGTTTTGTTCCTGGTGGCCCGCGTCCTTCATTATTTCGTATTTACGTATTAACGCTTCCTTTTATGCACAGGCTATCAAGTGCTTCCCTCTGCAGGACTTAAGCACCTCCCTGCCCTGTACTCCTCCTGTACCAACCCTTTCCCACCCACAATCGACGTATTAATGACTGCAGCACACAAAGAGAGAGAGAGAGTGAGACAGAGAGACAGACAGACAGAGAGAGAGAGAGTGAGGGGTATAAGTGGCGGCATCAGGTGGCTGCTGGTTTAATTGCTCTGCCACGCCTCTTCCCTCTACCTTTTCCAGGACCCTCTCAAATAATCCTTACTATATGCAGGCCGGTGCAGTGGGCTTTAAGGTTATTATATTACGCGCCCTGCAGATATAACCAAGATGCGAGAATCGGGCTTAACTTCGCATCCGCCTTCCTCGCCCCTTTGCCAAATTAATTAAAAATATTTATTGTTATGCTTATTACATTGGGTTTTACCACCACCCCCCACCCCCCACACACACACACACTTTCTCTCACTGTATCCTTTGGCTCCCACCTTCCAGGAACACATCCGGGAGTCCAAGGAGAGCAAGCTGGACGAGATGGGTCGCAACTCCAAAGGTCGTTCGCGGGAGAATATATCCAGGTGAGTGCGCAAGGGATGTGTACTTCGAACCTAGTTCGAGAGCCAGGAGTTCAAGGAGCAAGCACACAAATTATCACTAAGCGCATTACGTATACGCAACGTGGTCGCTGATACAGACACTTGACACATCTGTTAACTGTTTAAATTAATAAAAACACAAGATAGACATACTATAATATGTCTAAATACATTTTCTAATAATAATTAATATTTATTTTATACCTAACCTTAGGCAAAAGCACTCTCAGACTTCGCTGCAAATCCTGGATGATGTCTCCAACAGATACTACCGCGAGGCTGTGCCTTTGTCAACGCAATCAAGCAAGGCTGACTTCAAGGAAAAGGAGCACAGCATCCTGCGCCGCCATGCGGACATGACCCAGACAAGTCTGGGCGGTGGCGGTGATGATGGGGAATCCAGTTCCACAACCACAGCCACCCACGAGATGATGACAAAGGCAACCATGGCGGCGGCACCAATTAATGCCTGCGACATGGGCTGTCAGACGAGGTGAGTCCTTAAATCCCTCGAAAACACAATACATCATACACTACCTATTATCCTTTGAACTAAATAAAACCATGTTGGCTGTAGCTAAAATCAAAACAAAAAAAAACAAAACAAAAAGAAGCGTACGATTTTCTTTATTTATCCTCAAACACACAATATGCCACAGTCCTATACTCCCATTTCCCACTCCCCAATCCCATCCCATCCCTCTCAACAATCACATATGCCGTATGTGCAGTCAAATAGATGCCAGAAAATTGCAAAGTCAACGCCGGGCAAACACTAAAAACAATGACAATGTGGAGAATGGCGTCCAGGAAGTTACAGGGACGATGCCGATGCCGATGCCAACGCCTGTCGCTTCGACAACACAAATCGATGCAAATATTTGTATTTGCATGCGTCTTTATTGGATATAGCGACAGGTCCCACCGAGTTGGTATCGAAGCTGGGTATGGGCATGACAGGATAGTGGGTTTTAGCAGGATGTTTTTGGTATGGCGGAATGACAACCAGACAGACGCAGTCAGACATGGAATGCAGTGACACACAATGCCGGCGACGTGCCCACATAAAGATGATTCATGCGAACGAGTCACAGTCGCAGTCACAGTGAATCGACCGGGGTTTGTCCCGGTTAATTTATAGTCACGAAGAAGGGGCAAGCGGAATTTATTAACATAATCTGGAAAATAGGGGGGAGCGTACTTAATGCTTACAAGTGGGAGTCACAACTGAAAATGCTTTAGCTGATTATAAGAGGTTTTAACTAGATAATGTGATTAAGCATTTTATTTGATGCCTTATTAACTCTCACAGATCTCTATTATTTATGATTTAATGTAATTTATAAAGAAATACCACTGTTTTCATGCTAAATCCTATATAAAAAGGAAAGCTTTATGACTTTTCAAGTAAAATTCAATGGAAAACCATGGGCATTGCCTTAACACTTTGGGAATTATACTTTGTACGAGGTGGAAAAATTCTCCTCCCACAAGCATCCCTGTAAACCTTCCCACATATCCTTTCTTCCTGCGAATGAATCAACCTGAAATGCCCTTTCGTGTGCAATTGACAAATATTAAAAACCTGTCCACTTCTCTCTTTCCTCCCCCTGCTTTATCTCACACCGTCTGCGATGCTCACCTCAGGGAATCGCTGTTTGTCAACAGTCCTGGAATTGGACCATCGACGGGCCCGGTTGTTAATATTGGCTTTGGTATGGGAGTAACTCCAACGGCCTCGTCCTCTGCTCCCGGAGGCGGTGTTGCCTCGCTAATGAGACAAAAGTCCAGCTCCTCCTGTGGCTCAGGGGGCGGGGCCATGATGATGCCACCGCCACCGCCGCGATTCTTCTCCACGTTTGGCTATGAGCCATCGGGATCGCCGTCAGCAGCTGGGACGCTGACAAGGCGCAGCATGCAGCAGCAGCAGCAGCAGCAGCAGCAACAGCAGCAGCAACAGCAACAGCAGCCACATCATTTGCAACAGCAGCAACATCACCAGCAGTTGCCGCGCCAGGAGTCCATGGAGCTGGAGGAGCGACATAGCCTCCGTTCGCACTATGGCGGATTGCTGGCGACTCCAACGGCCAAGCCGCCGCAGGAGATCTGTCATCACCACCACCAGCATCAGCAGCATGCACAGCAGCAGCAGCAGCAACATCAGCAGCAACAGCAGCAGCAGCAGCAGCAGCAACGTCTGCATCATGCTCATCCTGCCCATCCGCATCCTCCGAGTATTGCTGCTCGATTGCCGGCCATGAAGGGACATGGCCTGGGAGTCGGAGGACCTGGCCAGACAACGATCCTGCCGGGAGGCAATAACAAGCAGCAGCAGCAAAAGAACGAGGAGTCCAAAGTGTTCATTGACATACGAAATTCGGCGCCAGATGTGATTATCATGACGTCCCATTGACATTTAAGGATTGCCCGTCAATCAGGAACGACATCAGTAAGCAGCAGCAGCCGGAGCAGCAGCAGCAGCAGCAGTAATCACTTGCAACAAGGCTGCAACAGCACCAATACTTGGAGCAGCAACACAAGGAATTTAAGCGAAAACAGCGGCAACAAGAGTCACATGAAAGTGTATAACAGCAATTGTTTGAGCAATAGCAATAGCACCTACAACGGCAACAAAAGTGGCATTAATGTGCACAACATCAGTAGCAGCAGCAGCAGCAACAACAGGAGCAACAACAACAGCAGCAGCAGCAACAACAGCAGCAACAACAGCAGCAACAACAGCAGCAACAAATTGAGCAAAATCAGCGGAAAGAGGAAGTGTTACAGCAACTGGACATTGGGCGACATATTAACCGCAGCGGCAGCCGCAGCGTCACTGATGACACAACAAGGACACTGTGCAGGACAAGCCTTTTTACTCCCTTTTGGCCACCCACACACACACACATCCTGTTTTCACTCTGCTGCACTCATTTGGCACTCTGCTTTTGCTCTTAAAGTGAGGTGTGAAGCGGCATTTTCAAGCTGCTGTTAAGCACATTTTTTGGTTAATTTTTTGTGACTTTCTTTTAAATTTGTTTAAACATATTAGATATTTTTCGTTGTAACATTTTTGCTGCGTTTTCCAAGTACAATGCCTATTTTTCTGCTAATTTACATACCCCCATTTTACATTAAGAGATTCAAAAGTTATTTTTTAAATATCAGACAGTTTGAAACATACACAAAGCTCGGCTAGAAACATAAATTCACATAGGCTACGTACAATATAAATTAAATGTTTAGCAAATAGTGTTCACAATGGATAATGAAACATTAACTATAGGGTGGAGATATTAGTGTTAAACTCTAAAATCTACCAATGAATTGGATGATAATTTAGCTTTGTTTTGCATATCACACATGAAAAATTGTAATTAGGTCATTTGATTTGGAAAGATCATTGTATTATTGTTATTTTTCTAAAGATATGTCAATAAGCTTCACGGATTTGTTGATGCTTACACCCCCACAATTCGATACCCGGCACTCAAGCATAGCTACAAATTGAATTTTTACTTCTATTTAATGTTAGGCAAAAGGGCAATAGAAATACTTGGAGAGAAGCTTCCCATACATGACTCTGGAGGTGACTGAGCGAGACAAATGGAAGATGTGTCGGTCCGCTGGCCTTGGTCTCGGTCTCGGCCAGCCTTTTTGCAATAGCCAGATCCCGAGTTCCGAGTTCCAAGGAGCGAGGGAAGGCAGAACCAAGGAGCTGTTTCAGTTGTTGCCACCGGACATTCAATGGCATTTCTGTTCGAAAACAATGCGAAAGCAGGACCCATTTCGGATGCGGATGCGGATTCGGATTCGGATTCGGGGGACACAAATGCGGAGGAGTGGCAGACACTAAGCAGACCGTTGACAACGTGGCGTATGAGCAACATGTCCCAGAACATTGTTATCGGATCCCATCGCCGGCAGCAGCCGCACCCTGCCCCATCTCCCCACCGCCCTTTGGCTTTTCCAACCCAAAAAATGCCTTTGCTCGGACAGGAACCTGTTCATTTACATGCATTGCAAACGTGGTCCATTTGCACGACGATGTCGCCACCGGAGTCCATCCATCACGGGCACGTGCTCGGTAGCTCTATTTTTGTCCAAGGATCCAAGGGGTTTTTCCGGGTCGAAAGCCGCTGCCCAGCCCAGTCGAGCAATTTTCATGAAAATAGTTTTTTAAGCGTTGTCAGTGAGGGTTTTCACCTCACACCAACTGGGGTTTATGAAATTAATTTTTGCTTCACAACAAAAGGCTCAGCCACTTTTTTTGGGTGCGGAACTGGTCTCATTCATTTAACCCATTTAAGGCCAGTGGTCAAAAAATATGTTATTGAGAACTTCAAGAGATTTTTTGTATATAAGAAGGTTAAATAAGGGCAAAAAAAATGTGGCTATTGAGGAGTTCCGGTTATTTCATGGTCGGGGTTGTTTTTAGCTAAGTTTTCAATAATAATGTGCAATAATCACACAGATTTTGAGAGCTTCAGGGGTTTTGTTTATTAAAAAACATAAATTCATAAGTTATATTTCTCCAAAAAACTGTCAAGTCAGAAAACGGATATTTCTACCCTTGTTTTATTTCAAATTAAACTCAAAAGTCCGAGAGGAGTTCTGCTTTTTTCGACCCAATTTTCATGGGTTAAGGAAAGGACCGGGGTACACAATCTTTCTGGTTCATCTGCTATCTAAATCTTTTTCAATTAGATAAATTAGCTTTCCCTCTCTCTCCACACACACACACACACACCCACACAGACCACTTCTACTACGTCGCACCTGTGGAAAAGTTTTTTCCCATCTCTCGGTCTCGGGTTTTCCCCTCTCAAATCCGTCAGTTTGCAATTAGCGTGGTCACCGCAATGTGGTTACTTTCGGGCTTACAGATATATATATTTTTTGGGGGTCCCTGATTCCCATTTTCCATTCCCAGTCATCCCCGGATCATCCTGAGCAACCTGAAGTGGTTACTCCGATGGCGTAAATATTGTCACAGCTGCCGGTGAAAAAATAAAGATGACAATGACAATGAGCGACGGCGTGGGAAAATCCATTTGATTGATTGAATTTAAGGGGCAGCGACGCTTTTTTGTGGGTGTAAAAGGGAGTAAATGACAGAGACCGACCGATGTCCTGATGGTAATGATAATGGTGCAACGCTGCAATTTTTCTTTCAAATCATTAGAGTGATTAAAGAGAGAGCGCTCCAAACGACTTGACTCGCGCACAGAACCCCCATCATCATCTTGAGCACGGAAATCAGTCACATGGAAGCCCTCGTCGAACCAGAAAACAGAATAAGTTAGGGGGGGAAAAACTCTCCTAAAAGCACACTCCAATCGTAGTTACTTTTGTTCAAATAAAGTCAATTTTCTTAACTGTTCAAGGGGAGTGTGTTGTTTAAAGCTTAATTTTTGTTATTTTTCTCAGCCACATATAATCGATATTTATTTGGGGGGAATTTTGTAAATAAATAATTAAAAACAATGAAACAGTGACTTGGTCATATCCGAATCCCTTTGTTGTTAAGCTTTTTTATGTATTAAAAAATACACACATGAACTAGTTGTAATTGTTAATTGTATTTTATTCGTTTTGTTTTAACCGTAAAAAACCCAATTTTTTCTTGCTACCATTTAAGTGAAAAACTAGCGATTTTACTAAAACTATAAATAAAATAATATATGAATACTAGAACGCAGAAGGAGCGATTGTATTATAAGCCAGATATGTGTAGGATTAAGTCAAATGTATGATACTTTTTTTTATAACAAACATATACATAAATAAATACTTAAAGTATCGAAATAAACTACGCGCAGAACAAAACAAACAGAAAAAATAGAGAAACTTGTTCCGAAGTATTGTTTTTTTTTTTTGTAATGACTGCAAGCATTGTAATTGTAAATTGTCGAGCGACAAAAAAAGGTATACACATACGAGCATAAAATAATTTCCAAAAAAAAAGGAAGAAATATAGATTTAAATAAGCATTAAGAGGACTAAATTTGTGTTAAGCATCGCCATGTGTGTATGTGCGAGCACAGACGATTTGTGTGTCTATGGAATGCATGTAAAATAAACTGAAATATGATCGAATAAAAATTCATTTGGTGGAAATGTAAACGATGGCGTTGTCTCTTGATCTAGGATTATATCCCCAAAAATATGCTCCTTGCAGGTTAGATTTGCCTGAAAGTAGGCAGCATTCGGAGAGCGGATAAACATGGAAGAAGCACTCTCGAATCGGATGACCCATTTTGGATGGAGAACCAGTAGGATACCAGTTAAGGACACCTGGCAGGACCACCAAATTAAATCGTATAATCAAACAGTGTTCTGGTTTTAGCCAGTTTTTTAAGGGTTTTAAGTAATCCAAATGTAGAGTTTTGTTTGTTTTTATAACCTGACAGGGTATTAAAGTTGTAATCAGACATTTGGAGTGAATCATTTAAAGAGTCACATAAGTAGTACATACATATATACAAAGTAGAACAAAGAAGCCTTGGTTTAAGTCAAAAACAAGAGGGGAAACTATCTTCGGAAAGTGTAATTAAATTAAAGGATTAAATTGGAAATATATCATCATTAAGCTTAAGATATGCACATTCTTTGAATCAATATTTATTTATAATTTAATACGACAATTCAAACAAATCAAAGCTTAAAATACTCATAACTCAGCCAAAACAACATTAATTTTAAATCGGAAAGCAGTACTGTGTTAGTTTTTGAAAGGGTAAAATTAAAATTTTAAAAATTTGAGATTTTTCTCGATTTTTAACGATGTAACCCTTACATTTAAAAAAAAAATGGCAAATATTTAGTTTCCTCCCAACATGGCTAGAAAGATTCGCCTGTTAATGCTGATCAAGAATATATATGATTCATGGGGTCGGAAATGATTTCTTCTTTTGTTACAAGCTTCTGAGTAAAATTATGGTACCCTGACAAAGGGTACAAAGGGTAAATATGTGAGAGCTTGTTAAACCTATATTTTAAGAAGGAAAACTTGATAATCTAACTATTAATATGTATAGTAAATAAACTCTTCCCCAATACTACCCTAAATAATTGATTTTTTCCATTTTCATTATAAATATATAAATACTTATATATAAAGAACCAATTTAAATGTTAAAATCCTAGCTCTTGCATATTTGATAGGACAGTTCTGCAATTATTTCTTGTATCTCGTGACATAGCTAATGTTCTATAGCTTGCCATTCGATGGCAGCTTGTATTTGACAGATACTGAGATACGCATTCGTATCTGTTGCTTTGAAACTCGCTGAACGAAATGCAAATTTGTCGCGCGCATTCCGTCTTTTGTTGTCCATAGATTTATGCACTCTCAACCGGCACCGACTCCGATTCCGTCTGATTTGTGACCACCGCCAGCTCATCGGACAGAGTCCGCAGCCAAGACCTATTCCCCTGCGGCCATATAAAAAGTGTATACCGGATGGGGGGACAGTAGTAGTTAGCACCAAGATGCCATCGGTTCGGTATACGCTGCAGATTCACCTGCTGCTCTCGATTCTGCTCCTAACATCCGGACAAAGGTTGCCGCCGGGTCGGGTGCCAGCTCCGCCGCGCCAGGATCTGCAGACGCCCAACTTTGATGGCGAGAGTTTCGAGAGATTCGGTGGTGGCGGTGCCACCGGTGGCCAGAGTAGTGAAAGCCAGGAGAGCAGTGAGGAGAATAGTGCCGAGATGCGGGAACAGTTGAAGCAGCTTCTGGGCGAGCAGCTGGCCAATGCCTTTGCCCCATTGGCCACCACGCCCTTCTCAAGGCGACCCGGAATAATTGCACCCAGCACGGGGGCCGAGGCACGGGCTCAGTTTGCCGAGAATCCAGAAACCAATGAGGAGAATGAAGATGGGGATGAGGAGGAGTCCAATGAGGAGGAACCAACACCTCAGCCCCAGCCTCAGCTACCTGGATTTGTGCCACAGCCTCCAGCAACTGCGGAGCCAGAGGAGAACTACAATCCCTGGCGTGATAACTTCTACGACCTTAATGAAGATGGCAGCTATATCTTTGGGTGAGTCTGCAGATTACCCTCTTCCTAATATATATTTATAATATTTAATTTAATATTTTTAATTAGTTATGCCATTCCCCATGGCGTTCGTCGCTGGGAAAAGGGTTACTACTCAGAGGACCAGCATAGCCGGGTCGTCAAAGGCTTCTACGTGCAGCCCCGTCACCTGGCCCAGGGTCTGGGCTACGAACTAAGATGCTATATAGCCGATTCCGAGGGTTATCATTCGCTGCCAGGTATGAGAGTGATTATAAGTAATATAATATATTTAAGATTAATAATATTGGAGCATAATTACAGTGGAGTATCTAATACGACCGCCAAGTGTGCGACGCGATGAAGAGCCTCAAGTTAATTGCTTTAATAATCACCGAAAGCGTATATAGTTTCAACTATAACTAATCCACAGAGGCATTAGTTATAACCACAAACTGGGAAAGTTTGTCAGCTCAAAATAAAAATTGGATTAAATTTTCCATAGCTAAAATACAATTTTTTTGTGCACGTTTGTAAATATATAATTCTAGCAAAAATTGGCTTAAAGCTCAATAAATAAATCTACCTATTTGGGAGTTATGAGAATCTGAATGTCAGGATGTCCCTTTGAGGATAACAAAAAAAAAGAAAAGAAAACAGGAAGCAGAAAACATAACTTTCCCGCAGACAAGAAGCATGCGAATCGCTTAAGAGAATTCTCGGGGCTTACCCGTACAGTCATCACTTCCTTTTTGCTTTTGGCGCTACTTCTTTATTTTTTTTTTGTGTTGTTTTCTTTTTATTTTTGTTTCTTTTTGTGCTACTTTTGGTTTATTTTTCGCAACTGTTTCAGCTTCCTTTTTGCTCCAATTCCAGTTTAATTCAAATGGCATTTGAAAAAAAAAAACTTTTTATTTGTTTTTATTGTCTTTTATTTAGCCCTGGTGCCCGGTAATCTTTCTCTTGTCCTGCACTGGGAGATATTCTTAGTGCTATTAATAAAAAATAATTCAAATTTAATGTCTTTGAAGGGATTTTTTCATTTATTTAGGTTTTGTACAGATTTGTATTTCATAAAACCATAAAACAAGATCATGCTATGACTCTTTTTTGAGTTGCAATTGATTTATAGAATCGAATTGGAAATCCATCATAACTAAGCTTAACATATATGTATTTAATATTTATAGATATTTTTAATTAAAATTTTTTTTTCATCAAGTTTAAAAAATTCATAACTCAGCCAAAAATTCATTCATTTTAATTCGGAAAGTGGTCCTATACTAGTTTTTAGTAAGATTATAAATCTGCATACTTAATTTAAATTTAAAAAAAAATCATTTTTTTGTTTAATTTTTAATAATTTTAACGATGTAACCCCCTGAAAAATTTCGAAAATTTTTGAGAAAATTTTTATCTTGTCTACATGCCTAGAAAGATTCACCTGCTGATGCTGATCAAGAATATATATGATTTTTAGGGCCGGAAATGAGTCCTCCACTGATTAAAATTATATTTTCCTCTAGAGGATTTTGAAATCGATATTTTTATATAATATTAATTTGTTGTAAAAATCTAAGTTTAAAAAACTCATAACTAAGTCAAAAAAGCATAAATTTTAATTCGGAAAGCAGTCCTGTGTTAGTTTATAGTAGTTTAAAAAAATTGCGTACTAGTTTTAATTTTAAAAAAAATTCAATTTTGTTTTGCCAATTTCCGAAAATTTAAACTATGGGACCCCTTATAAAATTTAGAAAAATATGTTAGAAAATTTTTTTCCTTCTAAGATATCTAGATCGACTCGGCTGTTGATGCTGATCAAGAATATATATGATTTATGGGGTCGGAAATGACTCCTTCATTGTAAGCTTCGAAATGCAACTTTAATACACTGTAAGGGTATAAGAAAATTGAAATATTTTAGTGTAATCTGCTTTCTCTCAGTGTATTGGTCCCACAGTGGACCAAACGAGATTTTTGCTATGTGTGTGTGCGAGTTGTGTGGCTTCTGCGGCGTCCCTGAATGGAACGGTTTTCCCACCATTTTCAATTTTTGGCGATTTGTTGCGGCACTTAACGGTTGTTTGTTAGCTGTCATTGTTGTTGCTGATGAAGCGCCTTTTGTCTCAGCTTACCCCCCCCCCCTCTCCCCCCCCCCGCATCTCCTACCCCTTGCGATACAGTGGGAACAAGCTAAGTAGGACTTTGAAGCTCGTAAAGGGAGATTTTTCTTAAGATTTATAAAGTCTGCCTTTCAGAAGAACCCAAAAGGATTTAAATAAATACCATTACATTTGAATTCTTATTAAAGAAGCTAACCTTTACCTGGTTTCTTTTTCAAAAAGAAGTAATCCCTTAAATAAAAATAAATTTATATTCTTATTTAAAAACAGTAACCTTTCTCTAAATGCTCTTTCAAATAGGAACAGCCTCTTAAAAAAATAAATTAATATGTAAACTCTAGCTTAAAACAGTAACCACTTTTTTAATGCTCATTAAAACTTAAATAGAGCAATAGAATGAAATACAAACTGTTTAATTAAAACAGTAACCTTTATCTAAATGCTTTTTAAATATTTCATAAATTCTTGATATTTCCCTGGCATTTTCTTTACAGTTTTTACTAGTTCTGTTTTTTCTGTATCTTATTATATGAAATCTAACCAACCTTCACTTTATGGAGGTCAGTCTGTATTTGCTAGTAACGCTGTTATTGTTTTTATTTATTTATTTTTTCTGCTGGTAACTATCCCAAGACGGACGCGCAAATTCTGGGCAAATTGTTTTGAGGCAAGTCGCCGAAGAAAAGAAAAAAAAAAGAAGGGGTTTCGCCACCCGCATCAGCGCCACATCCCACAAACATCAATGTATACATCCCCACATTGAAATCTACAACCACATCCGCGGTTTTTCCCGGCACAAAAGTTTCCCGGCACCGGCACCGGCTTTAGATGCGGCTAAAATGCGAATTTGCCTAAATCAACAGAGTTGAAGATATAAAGCAACCATTTTGTGTGTCTTCTTTGCATTTGAAAAGTAAAAAGTAACAAGATTTCATTGTAGCTCATATTGTGTCGTCTATTTGCATATCTGGCGCGTGGCTTTATGCCGAAAATCAGGCAACCGGCCGGGTCCGGGCCTATGTACCGGCGTAAATAGACGTAAATACGACGACCTTTATATTATATAGTCAGGCCGAAAGAGTGCGATAAGGCAGAGAGCGTAAGAAAAAAAAACACACCGAAAAAACATACCAAAAATCGAGCAAAAAAGCAGGTCAAAAAACGAGCAAAAATCATGCAAAAAACAGGTTTATTAAGCTCACGTTTTTGAACTTTAAGCGATTGATCGTGATTTTTTGTGCTTTCTTTAAGGCCTTTTTATCGCAGATGTGACACGGGATTAACGTTATGTCAATAAAATTGATTGAGTAACATTTAGGGAACATCTTTCAAGAATTTTAAGTCATTTTAGTCATATTTTAACTTATTAAAAACACATTAAAGCTTGAGAAACCCCCAAAGATACAATATATCAAGCAAAAGTATCTCTTGAAATCATTTAACTAATTTCTCATTTGCATATTTAAGGACAATCTGGTTTTTGATTTAATTTTCCAACATCCTTTCCTTGTTGACTTCATTACCATATTCATTTTCCCAGCTTATTGCATTCGCTCATGTTGGAAAATGCAATTCATACTCCTTTGACCGAGATTTGAACTAATTCCGAAATTCATTTCCACACATTTCCCGCTGGCTTTTGCGTTGAGTCCTCGGAAAATGCTATTTGGTCAACTGAAAATCATGAAGTAATCAACTTAAAGCGAAACTTTGCCATCGAAACTTTCGCACATGCTGAGATACAATACAAAAGATGGATAGATACACTCGCCTCAGATACAAACTTGCCTATAATTGAGCAATTTACACCACAACAAGATAGGGGGGAGTTGACTGGGCGTCGCCTTTTTTGTGCCGGAGAAGAGCAGAGGGAGGGTCAGTTTTTGGGAGACGAATCGTGAGGAAAGTTTTTTGGCCGGGAGCATCAAACAGTGGCTGTGGAATGTGATAAAAATGCCGAGATTATGTAACCGAAATACTTTTAAATCGAAATCGAGCAATATAAATTCATGGCTTAGACACTTGAAAATGCCAACGTCGGTCTCCTTTTGGCCGCTGGCTAAGTGTGGGTGTGTGGATATGGGGACCTTGTTTGGCTGGCTACTAAGGGGGAAATGGGAAATGAAATATTGTGAGCACACGCCGAAAGACAGGGCCAGATATAGCGAATCCGGCTGCTGCTAAACAATATTTTATACTTATGTGGGTACAGCAGATATTTATTAGTTTGTTGTGCGCTTTTCAATCTCTTTTTTATACCCTTGTCTCCACCCATATAATGTATATATATTCCTTAGAAAAAAAAGGTTATAACTTTTTCAGATTTTAACATATTTTTATCTAATTTGATTCAAATCTATCTTTTATTATTATAGAAATTCGCATTTAGTTTTATGAAAATCGGAATAACTGCCAGAAAAACGGTTGTTAAGTATTGATGATCAGTAAGTAAGTATCTTTCGACAGTAAGTATCTATGGCCAGTAAGTAACTATGATCAGTAATTAGTTATGAGCAGTAAGTATCAATTAACATTAAGTAACTATGATCAGTAAGTATCTATGACCACTAAGATACCATGATCAGTAAATTACTATGAGCAGTAATTAACTCTGAACAGTAAATATCTATGACCAGTAAATAACTCCGTTCAGTAATTAACCATGATCAGTAAGTAACTAAGATCAGTAAGTACCTATGACCAGTAAGTATCTATGACCAGTAATTAACTATGATCAGTAAGTATGTCTGATCAGTTTCTAACTTTGAACACTAATAAACAATGACTTGCAACTTTTGTAACACAACACATATCGGAGACCTGGCCGGCAGAAGTCACTTCGTTCCAGGGATGTTTGAACCAGTTGGGAATCATATGTACACGTGTGCGAGATTTGCTTTGGAACAAAGAGCGAGCTATTTGACTGAAACTATAGAGTTATTCTTCTATATAATTTTACTAGTATATAAATCGGAGAATGGCGAATCGGTGGACTATATACAAATATATATATATCATATGCCATAGGAACGATCGGACAATTTTAAGAAAAATTAATTATGACTTTTCCAGTTTTCAACAGATTTTCATTAAATTTGATATATAGCCATTATATATTAACCTAGAATTAAAAAAAAAATCTGACTACTATATCAGCTATACTGGTATACAAACTATCTTTGAAAAAAGAGGAAAATGTAAAAGGGTAAATGGAATGAAAGCAGGCATTACTTTATTGTTTTTTAACATAAATATATAAAATGTATATTGTATTAATTCCTAGTGATCAAATTTCAATCTACAAGGGTATACAAACTTCAGCGTACCGAAGTTAGCTAAATTTATTGTTATTTTATTAATTTAAATATTTATTCTTTTGTTTTATTAACAATTCAAATCTTTGTCTGATAGTTTAATAAATACTTAATCTTTCACTGATTCTGAAACATATATCTTTCCCCTTAAACTCCTTTTTGTCAGTGACCCATTCAAAGGCCTTTTTACGATGCTTTTGGCATTTATATGCCAAATATTTTTGAGGCGATGCCGTCAGGGCCATTAAAAGTCAAATGAATGCATTTTTGAGATAAGATCGGAGTTGCCGTTAGTCGGCACCTTTAAGCCTTTAATAGTATGAGATGTCAGAAATGTTGGGGGTAAAAAAATAAGATTACAAGGAGCAGCTGTTTCCACCAAAGTGCTTACATTAATTAAGTACGCTTGCGGTTTGACAGACAGGCTTTAGGAATTTGTAAGTCCCCGCAAATATTAACCCTTTGCTGGTTACTGGGACTATATGGTACTTTTTATTCTATAAATACTTTTTAATTTATAAATATTTTATATGGTATTTTCCTTAGTTACCTGATCATTAATTCTGTTGATAAATTATGATCTCCAAATTGAATTTATCAAATAAATGCTGTTTTGGTGTTAATTAATCACCTTAAAAATTGGCTTGACAGATAATTTATATAAACAGACATTGCTATAAGCCTTTGTAAACAGAAACCAGAAATACATCTGAATTTTGGATAATGATACTATATAAAATGTAATATAGGCAAATACAATACAACCAAAAGAAAGTAATATAGTGTACTCAAAATGTTAATTCACTTAGTTAACTTGTAAAAGGGTACCAATTTCCTCAATTTACACCTAAAATCAACACCATTAAATGGTTATAAAACGACCTGCAACAAACATTCAAAAACCTCCCTCAACCTAATCTCCCCCCATTTACTAAACTAACAAAGAAAGTCTGCAAAAATCAATCCCCCTTTTACCCATTTAACCATTCAGTCGCTGTCAAATCAAAGTCATCACAAACAAAAGCCAAGGAAAACATAAATATTTAACCCAGAAAAAGGGGGGGCGTGATGAATGCCAGATGAAGTCTGGCATTTTCACACACACACACACTTCCTCATACACAAGGGTTAAGCAATTAGGGGCAGATGGTGACGCCTACACTGCTATCAAAATCGATGACCAGGCCTTGTGATGAGATGGGCCAAAAGCGATAGCAAATGTGGAACGATGACGCGGCCTGGTCAATGAACCATGTCGATTTGGGACTGAGATTTAACTTCTTTTATTTTTTTCTTCTGTTTTTTTTTTACATCTGGGACTGACACACTTTGGGATCGATTCGGCGGCGGCGCAACAAACAAATAATCAAACAAACAAACGGAGTAAACAAGGCCCAGAAAGAGTCCCAGTCGCAGGCCCAAGGATGCCCCCCCTTTTCCCCACCCCCGCAGCTCGATAATACTGTCAAAATCACAAAAGGCATCGTGACGCCTCAGAAAACCTACCAAAAGAAGCGTTCCAGAGTTGTCCAAGGAGCAACAAATAAAGGAACTTTTCAAAGGGGAAAAAACTGAATGACCCAAAGGGAATTCTTGGCCACGACAGAGCCTTTGTTTGTTGTCCCGATTTAAATTCTAGAAATTTTACTTAATATTATTATTAAATTGTATGAATGATCCTTTAGGTAGCTTATTTTTTAAGGACGAGAAAAATGCTGATCTGGCTGCACTGTTCTCCAGAGAAAGCCCTCGATTGGGGAAGTGAGGAAGGAGAACTCGTGGGAGATGAGAACCCGAAAAAAGCACTGCCAAATCATTGCCATTGACGTGTGAGGAATGGGTTTATTATACTTCAAGACCAGCCTGTTGCCTGGGCCTTTCTTTTCATTTGACTCCTTTTTTTTTGGTTTTTTGTTTTCTTTTTCTGGGTGAACAGGCCAGCCAGTTGGTGGTTCATTGCTGTGTGTATGTTCTGCCGGACATTTTTCATCTTTAGTGCCGAAAGGCTTCACTCGAGTGGCCTCTGCAGCGGGTATATATAAGAAGGCGAATGCTTGGCAATGCCACACAATCAATTATTCAATTCTGAGCAGCATGTTTGAGTTTACCCCGAAAGTCGGTTCGATGGTTGTGATGCTGATGATGCTCCTGTTAGTCCTTAGTCCTGTGGACTCGCGATGGACCAGGCGACCCAGGCGTACGACCACACCAAGGAGTACCACCGAGAAGGCTGATCGACATCAGTATGTGCACCATTGGCCGCCATTGGTGGCACCACCAGCAGCAGTTCCTGCTCCTGTTCCTGCTCCTATTCCTGCTCCTATTCCTGCTCCTATTCCTGCTCCCTCACCTCCCCAAGTTGTGCCCAGCCCAAGTCCCCGCTTGATTGACAGCTTTGATCGAAGATCTGCAGATGGAGAGTATGAGTTCAGGTAGGAGTACCCCTTAACTCTTAAATAAAACAAAAATATATATGACTATTATATATTTAAATGCAGATTCCAATTGGACAATGGCAACACCCGCTATGAACGCGCCTACTGGCTGCCTGTGGGCAAGGACCTTGTCTTGGCCAAAAAGGGTTACTATTCGGTGCCATTGCCCAATGACCAGTTTTCCACCATATTCTACACAGCAGACAATCGGGGCTACCATGTGGATATGCGTAAGTATCATTCGCTAACCCAAGGCATAGAGTGCGAAGCTATCTAGGATGAGAACTACCATAATTCCATACACCATGCCAGAGGCTCCTGCCTCTACTTCCCTTTAGCCGCTAATGAATTTATCCAAAACGCAGAGACGCTATCCGGAGAGCGACCCCTGTTGCCGCGCAGCCTAGAAGTGCCCGGAGTGGCAACCAAAATGGAATTGGTAACGGGAATGGGAACGGGAACGGGAACCAGTGGAGGAGCCGGGACTAAGCGAAATTCAATAAGCGACCCGGAGCGTAACGAGCAGGATGTGGAGAATGTGGAGAACGTTGTGGATGGGGATGTGGACACAAGTGTAGCTGGCACCGAGCGGGTACCAAATGTAAGTGCCACGAGGGGGGAGGGGGTTTATCCCTCCTTCTCCACCTTATAGACCAGGAACCTTCCCTGTATTGGTACACAGAAAACAAAAGCTAACTCAAACACCTATTTTTAAAGGGTAAAGCAATAAACCTATACTCCCTATATACAAAAAGTTATTAACTCTTTTTATATTACAAACTGATTGATTTTTACAATTGTGTAATATATATATTCACTCTTTCTTATTGTGTATATTCCCCCTTTGGCTGCAGGCTGTAAGCCAAGTCGAGACCGAAACCGAAACCGAGACCGAGCCATCAACTTTGGCCAACGACATTTTGGCAACCGAGGCGGCTGACGATGATGATGATGATGATGATGATGATGATGAGGATGGTGCTGCCCCTGACGATGTTGTTGATGATGAAGGCGTCTCAAACTGAAGGCCCGAACATTAGGGGACACGAAGGACACACACTTGACTGGCTTGCAACTCGCTCTACTTGCTGCAAATCAAATTGAAAACAATTGTTGCAGTCACCAGTCACCAGTCCGACACAGTTGAGTTGGCCAGTCACTATATTCCAAGTTCCAAGGAGCACCAGCTACTGGCTCCACTTAACTCCATCTTCATCTTCGTCTTCATGCTCATCCCCATTTTGGACTTGGAAATGCGTCTCAATTCCTTGCCTGACAGCTTCTGTGTGTGTGTCCCTATGTTTGTGACCCTCCTCCGCGTGCTTTAATATTAATATTTAAAACCCCTCCCTCTATTTTTTTGTGTATATTTAAGAAGTAATAAATTATAGAAGAAATATCAACACACTCGCTTATCTTCTAGCCAAGCTGTATGTCCTTTGGGACCCCCATAATTACTTGCGCGCAGGTTGGTCTATTGGAGCGTTTTCAAATAGTTTAGGGACAGGCAGAGGTAGGGTAAGGGAGCAAAGCTAGCTCTGTGTCCCTGTTGATGGCCAAAAGATGGAACATTATGAGGCGGCTGACAAAAAACACATTCGAGCCTCAATTTGCCAGCTGCCGACTGTCGGTTGTCGGTTTGCCGGTTGCCCTTTTGTGTCAATGCTCCTTCTTGCTGGCTCAGTTCTTGCTGGTTTCAATTTAAATGGTTTCTGTAAAAACGTACCAAATTGGGTGGCCGCCATTGGTGAAAAGGCGATGCCAAGAGATTTGTCGGCGGCAAATCGGTGAGCATTCATAAAACTTCTCCATCTCTGGCCCCAGTTTCAGTTTCATCTCCAGCTGCCCGGCCCCTTCTTCCAGCTTTCCCAGCTTTTCCAGCTCCATGTGTGGCCATAAGACTGGGCTGCTTACCTTAGCCTTCGCAGCACTACTCCCACATATGCTCGTAAAATGCAGGATACACTGTTGGAAATTATGCTAGCTCACAGTAATATCATTTAAGCAAATTAAAAATATACAAGAAATTACTACAAATTATATTTAAATACTTGAACTTTTTAGTGAAATGTTAACTTCATTATTTATTACTTCAAAATGATTTTCTTTCAGTGACCACGGATGAATCGGAACCGAGTTCTGTGGCAGGATAACTGCAGCTATTCATTTCGCTACTAATCCTATGCGGGCCAGGGATTCGGGCTCGTCCTTTTGACCCCGTTAGCTCCCTTTGGCCCGTTTTTGTATTTACGAGTCAGCCATGCCCACGTAATGAATGGCAGCACCGCCCCTCCAGGCCCCCAGTACCCCGAGAGTGTGAATGAGTTGAGTGTGCAAGCGGGCTGAATGAATGAATAAACGAACCGATGTGAGTGCGGTGCGGTATAGCCGCGTGAGTCACGCTCCCACCTCTGGCACGAGGATAACCTTGGCTGCAATTCTGGAAGGGATCAGGGAATTCTGTCAATCCTCTTCTCTCCTCTTTGTATACTCTTAAAGGGTCAGAGGACTGTAAGGACAAGAAGAACTCATTTCCGGCCCTATAAATCATATATATTCTTGATCAGCATTAACAGGCGAATCTTTCTAGCCATTTCGGGAGGAAAACTAAATGCAATTTGTAAAGTTTGATTGTCCCAAAAAAATATTTAAAAATGTATGAAATAAAAATGTCGATTTCAAGAATCTTGCTGAGGAAAATATAATTTTAATCAGTGAAGGAGTCATTTCCGACCCTATAAATCATATATATTCTTGATCAGCATCAAAAGCCGAGTTGATCTAGCCATCTTAGACAATAAAAAAATTTTTTACCAATTTTTTCAAAATTTTAAAAATTCATCGTTAAATTAAAAAAAAAAAAATGATAAAATTTTAATATTTTTAATTTTCAAAAGGAGTTTACAAATTTATTATTCTAATAAAAACTAGCATTGGAAAGCTTTCCGAATCAAAATTGAGGCATTATTGGCTTAGTTATGAGTTTTTAAACTTTGAGCTAAGCTAAGATCGATTTCCAATAAGAACCTATTAATCAATTGCAAAGTGCAAGGGTATATGCATTTCGACTTCCCATAGATAGTTTTAAATTTTTACATTCGGCGCCTGCATCAAAGTTTACACATTTACCGCGCTCACGTGAAGCCCCATAAAAGCAACGGCATTGGAAATGAAGATTGAATGGACTTTACACTGGATTCACTTTTCCCCCGTATGACTCCCATCCCCACCACCACTTTTCCAATCACAATCCTCTCAGGAAAAACTCAAACACATTAGCGATTTACAGACAGATTCCACAATATATATGATGGATTACGCACCCAGGAAAATATGTTTCGACACAGGGCGAGAAATAGGTTCGATCTGACCAGATCTATATTTAAACACCTTTTCGCCAAGTGTACTCCGAGTGGGTGTCGAGCACTTGTGGCTATTTATAAGGTGCCATGGGTCATTGATGACCCTTGTCCCTGATTACTTATGTAAATATTCACAGGCCCGTCGCTTAGCCCTTAACCCCTAATGCCCATCATTTGGCCATTTGCCCAAATTAATTTATCTTCATGAGAAACACTCTTTAGCCAAAAAAGAAAAGGGGGGTAAGTGAATTTCTATTCAGTTAGATACAACCGACAACAGCTGAAAAAAAAAATAATAAAAAATAGAACAGAAAGCGAAATTAACTTGGGCACGCCGAAGTTTGTATACTTTAAATTTTAATATATAATAATAGTAGTACAAGTTATATATTTTAAAATAAGGTTTGAAATAGGTAATTGTATAACATTCATTAAGATTTCCCCGCATTAAGTTTTTTTTATTCAAAAATATACAAATTGCCAAGAAAAATATGTTAAGGCAATATTGACACCCACAAACGAGAATCGTATATAAGAGTACGTGGCTCCCACGCTCTAAAGTTCCCCTTTCCAGAAATAAGGCTTAAAGTACATAAATTTAAAGATTTCATTAAGATTACCAAATATAAAGTTCACAAATTTCCAAATTGCTAAGAAAACAGAAGGTAAACAAAGGTAGTTTTCCAACTGTTCATATTAAGTACCACAAAAGAGAATCATATTCTAAGAGTAAATGGCTCTCACCCTCTTAGGCTTCTTTTTCCGGGAACCGTTTTGTATTATAAATATTGTAAAATAAGGTTTTAAGTTTATAATTAATAAAATTTTTATAAGATTCCCTTGCATAATGTTCACAAATTTCCAAATTGCTCAAAATAATGATAAATAAAGACAGTTTTCCAATTCTCCATAAGAGAGGATCATATTATAAGAGTACGTCACTCTTACGCTCTTTGGCTCTACTTACCGGACGCCGTTTTGTATTATATATATTGTAAAATAAGGTCAAAAGTATATAATTATAAGAGTTTCATTAAGATTAACTTGCATTCAGTTTTTGTTGTTTTGTTTCTATTCACAACTTGCGAAAAAAAAAAGCCAAACAAAGTCGGTTTTTCAACTGTCCATATTAACTACCAAAAGAGAGGATCAAAACCTGAGAGTACGTAACTCTTACTCTCTTACTCTTAGGTTTCAAAGAGAACAACGCCAGAAAATATGCAAAAGGAAACGGCAGAAAAATTAATCGCGCGCGAGCTCAACGAATTACGAGGATAAGAGAAAAGAGAAAACGTTTTGTTTCACTCACCCGCACTCGTTGACATTGCTGCTGCAGATCTAACGGCGAATTGGAATATGTACGCAGAAAATACACACAAAAAAAAGAAGATAATAAACCTTCTAATTTATTTTACACATTTTACCCGCACTTCCATACTTTTGATTTATTTCCTTATTTATTATCCTTATTTTTAATTTATTTATTTTTATTTATTTTATATATATTTTTTCGCAGTAACACATTTTTTTTCGAGTGCAGCCACACGATTGAGATTGAGAGTGGAGGAGAGAGAATAGAAATTTGCGCGGCATTTTTTTACACTTGAATTAAAATTTATTCTTTTTTTTACTTTCACAAATAAAAACATTTTTTAAATATAACAACATTCACTTAAAAAAAAACACTGATCTTGGCATTTTACCCGCACTTCCATCCCTTTTCCCTATTTTTTATAATTTGCACAGCTACACACTTTTTTCCGAGTGCAGCCAAACGATTGAGATTGAGAGCGGAGGAGAGAGAATAGAACTTTGCGCGGTATTTTATTACACTTGAATTAAAATTCTTTCTTTTTTCACTTGAACACTTCACATATAAAAAAATAAAAAAAATGCACTTAAAAAAAGCACTGATCTTGGCTTTTTATCCGCTTTTGCCATATCTCTCCCTTTTTATTTTCTTTTTTATAATTATGAAGCGACACCTTTTTTCCGAGTGTAGCAAAACGACTGCTCGGAGAGAAGGAATAGACAGACATTGCGGTACCGGTGCCTTGCATCACGTGACCTGAAATTCTTTCTCTTTTCTACTTGCACTGTTCACATATAAAAAATGAAACAAAAAAACGCACTGATCTTGGGTTTTGGGGACTCTGCCGCCAATTTACTAACACTTTTCGCGAATTTTCTACTGATTTTCACCGATTTTCCACGATCTCCTTGCGTGGAGCCGTTTTCGTTTTCACTTTTTATGCCAGGGCGCGTGATTCGATATTCTTTCTCCTTTCCACTTGCACTTTTCACATATAAAAAAAAGGAAGAAAAAAACGCGCCGATCTTGGCGCCGTGAAAAACAACGAAAAACAACGAAAAACCACAAAAAACACACGGCAGCGGCCAAATTTGGGTTTAGGGATACTTGCCCCCCCTTCACCAACACTTTTCACTAATTTTCCGCTTATTTCCCGTCGTTTTTCCGCCGTTTTTCCATTTTTTTCCGGGATCTCCTGCGAAGTGATGTTGTCGCTCTCAAATTTTTTCCTCTTTTGTGCGTCCGTTTTGTTACCAATTTCCTCCTGTAACATAACATAGCTATGTTAGGTTTACATTTGACAGGTGTACAGAGAAATTTGACACGCTAACAGATACAAGGTGTGGAATTC